CAATTATTTGAGCTAGATGTCTTTTTCCTGATTAAGTGATCACTAGTGGTCTGTTGAAAGCCACTGCATTTAGAGAATGAGTGTGCATTCACTCAGAAAATGAAAATTCCAACAAGCATCTTTTCAGCAATGTACAGTGTTTAGATAGGGGAAATTGAACATTCTCTACTTCCTCAGAATGAAACATGTTGGACTATCATTGTGTTACTGGGCTTCCCCCCATGTCTTGGGTGTTACTGTGCTCCTTTCTGGAGAATCCTTACTGCAAATCAGACTGGTGTCAGGAGCAAACAGAGAAGGACAAGCAGAGGGCAGTGGGAAAGCAGACTGCTCGTGAAGATTTGGGGCATGAAAACTGCTGAAGGGTTTAGAGTGACTGAAGCATGAGCTGTTTATGTAGCTGATTCATGTGTTGATAGTGGCAGGTTTCTCAGGCAGCTAACAGGTGTGGACACTTCTTATTACAAATGGGAGGAAGGTGTGTGGATCTATATTACCTTCACAGAAGGCAAGAAAATTGAGATAATTATGTTGGTTAAGTCCAACCCTGTGTAATCACAGGGGTGGTGAACAGGTGTGCTGCTCATGTGATGCCATTCTCCTACCAAAGCAGCTGTAGCTGTTTTGGTAGATTTATTGGCACTTTGCACTTGTTGTAGAAGTGCTTCCTATGCTGTGAAGTAACTGGGATTTGCTTTATTGCTTAAAAAAAAAAATTATTTACACATACGTCAATATATAAAGACAGAGGGAAATGAAAGAAAGAAAGAAGCTTACACCAAAGTTATTACAAACTTTTTAACTGGTTGTGTAGGCCAAATGATCCACATTACTTTTAGTTTCCTTATGTTAAAACAAGTATGTAGATTAACAGAGTATCCTTTAGTGTTGTTCAATTGTATTAGGATACACTTTGTGTATCTCCAATTTTTGGTGCAGTTAGACATTTCTCAAAGTCTTGGATCAAGGTTACTTCTTTTCTGAGAAGACTTGATGTTGTGAAGTCAAGGATAGTTCTACTAACATTTATGACTTGTGTACCTACCAAAGTTTTGTTATTCAGTATCTACAAAGCCATGCAGAACCCAGCATTTCAGACAGAATTGGTTAATGTAAAATTAGTACATCTCTGCTCAGATTAAAAAAAAAAAAAACTCTCTGCTAACCCTCTAATGTGTGCAAAAATTGAAATTTTAACTTAAAAGAATGCTGTTGAAGTATGTTTTTAGTAGCAGTGAGGATCTCTGTGTTTTGTCTTTTAATTAGACCTATTTACTGTCCCTTGTAACATGCTTCTAATCTGTTTTTCTGGTAAGACAATGTCTATTACTAGCAATTAATAAGATAAAACTGCTTTAGAGTAAATTCAGTTTGGTACTGTTTGGCCTTGATGTTTGAAGTCAGTTTCCTTCCTTTAAAAATGTTGAAACTGTATTTATTTTCATCTGTTAAATTAATTGTTTTGAAGAGTTTGCAGTGTTTTTTATGTTCAGCTCATATTTTAAAATATTGAACAGGCACTACCTATTTAAAATGAATAAGAAGAAAAGGTGAATGCACAATGAAAATAGACCTAGCATTTGCATAGTGGAGATCCATGTGAAATTTTCACCTTGAGAATGGATTACTGGTGTGAATTATTTTCATATTGTATGAAGGCTGGGATCCATTTCTAGTCTGAGACACTGTTGTTTCTTAAAGCTAATTCTCATGGATCTAGCATTTCATAACAAAAAGCAAAAACATTTTAATGATCTCAAAAATTTGATTTACTGCAGTTTTAACTTGGGTATTGCATGAGGTCTTGGTTACATGTTCTTAACTGTAGATTTTTATTTCATGTTTTGCATTCAAGTTGAGTTGGCCAATAGCATGTTTAAAAGGTTTAGAAGAGAGGCATGCTGTATCTCACAGTCTCCAGAAAAGAAAGCAGACTTTTCTACATTTATGCCCTCTGTTAGGTTGCACAGTGGGAGGTCTTTGTAAGGATTTCTTTCTCCAAATAACAGAAGACCTCCCTCCAGAGTTAAAGTAACATACTTTAACAGACTTCTGAAAGTTTCTGCAAGTGTCCTAGGTAGGCTGAAATCTTGGAGCTTACAAATTATTGCTGGGTATGTGTAGCAACAGATGAAGTTGTTTGTGTTTGAAGGTCATCTGGTAACAAATTGCTATTTGTAGACAGAGAACTTAGTCTACAATGAAAAATATTTTGTCACATAATAAACAGTAAACTGGTAGAATTGTTATAGATTTTTCAAGGTTTAACATATAATAAGTTAAAAGAAAGGTATATCTTAAAGATATGAGTTATGACATGACCTCCAAGTTTGTAGGAAGTTCATATCTGTCTTCTAAAGACTGGCATTTTATGCTGGTGGAAGGATCAATCAAACATGTATTTTATGAGGTTTTTATGTATTTATTTTTATTTTTTCCCCCCACTGTGTCTATTGTTGTCCTGGAAGAGCATATAGTTGGCTAGATGATATAAACCAGACTGGTGGTGTATTCTGTGACCAGATTGTTCACAGCCTATTGCTAAGCAATGTGAAACTCTTTTCGTGGAAGAAGGTGTAAAACATTTCTGCGGCATATATGAATGAGAATAAAAATTTTAAACAGTTGTCTGATTTTACAGTTGTAGAGACAGTGTCAATAGTGGTGGGATAGGTGTGAGCAGTGCTTTAGCTGCTTGCATACTTGATAACTCTGAACTATGGTCATATGCAGTGAAGCCGGGAATGATTTGTATGGATGGCAGCTGTGCTGTAGCTTCCTAGGAATCTAAAGATCAGAGCCTCTGTTGGGCAGCCTGTAAAGCCCCTATCAAGTATTTTATATATGTTATTTTTAGACTTGAGTGGCATAACAGGCTATTAGGCTTCATGTAGAGAAGCCCTTCTTACTTTCAAAACTTTACAGGTATTTCAAGGGAAAACACTAATTCTACATAGAAATATGTACATTATCTTTAACATAGCTTTTGAAAGATTTTAGTCTGATTGTTTCTTTTGTGCCACCAGGTGGCATGGGACTACAGTCTATTTATTTATTTTTTTTTTCTTTATTCCAGTATCATCTGCTTATTGATTTCTTCTTGTTTTCAGTTCATTAATTTTATAAATTTCTAGAATTCATCTTTAAATGGGTGGGATTTTAGGATGTAGCTCCTATATCTCATTTAGCTTAATCTGGTTCTGTCATCAAAATATATTCTTGTCTTTTTTGGAAACAGTAGCTGTCTGCCTGTGTTGCATTTTAAAACCTGTTACTGTTTTCAGGATGTATTAATCTAAGAAACAGAAATAGCAAGCAGTGGATTAGTGCTTTTCACAGCCCATAAAATGCAGAGACAAACCAATAGCATTAAAGAAATACTAAAATATATTGTCTGAAAATTATGAAGAACTTCCACAAAGGTAGAATTATAGTAATAACAGTTTAGAATCCAAAAACATGATTGGTAAATCTTGGTAAGGATTTTATTTTATTTTTTTATTTTTTTCATTCCTGAGGACTTTGCAAAGCCAAGAGAATTTGAAAGAATGTACACATCAATTTAGAAAGAAGACCTAATCCTTTGCAAACTACTGTTGCTGAAAAGAAAAAGGCAAATATTTCAAGTATATTGCTGTTGAAAGTGAAAAATGTGTAATGTACAGATGTTGTTTCTAATATTATACTACAGTCCTAAGAAAATAAGGCAGTGGTGCTGGGAAAAAGTCATTAAAATCATAAGTCACAGAGTAGCTGTCTACTGAATCAATGGTATTTTTGTTGAATGTAATGGGAAAATGTAGATGCCTGAAACTGAAGCAGGTTTTGCTGTTATGATGGCTGCTTGCAAAAATATCTAATCATGTGTTGTATATTTTCAGATCTGAATTCAACTTTAATAATAGAGACTGGTTTTTTTTTGTTCTCTTGTCACTTCTCGTTACATTAAAATAATTCTGAGGAAATAAAGAAATTTCTGTAAACAATGATAGATATCCCTAAGATCATATTAAATAATCTGGCCTTTTTGAATCTGTAAAAGCTAGCACCTTCCTGCCTGATAAAAAGGATCCCTCAAATATTGTGGAAGGAGTGGCTAGTACATGAGAGGGTGGTAGCATTTTGGGGTGCCTTGATTGGCTGTGCTCTCTCCTGCATTCCAACAATACAGTGCTTAGATACTATTAAATTGCTTTGTGGGATCTGTCTCTTCCTTCCAAGTTGCACTGGAAGATGCCTTGACTTCTTTCAATTCATGCTGGTGCTGTTCTACAGCCTTCCTCTTGTGGAGCTCTCTGCAATGTCTAGAAAATTCTGTTGTTTGGCAATTGAAGATGACCTTCTGACTGAAAATGCCATTAACTTGATCTTCTTTTACAGGATTTTCTTGATGATTGTAATAGTCCAATTATACAGATTATTCCTGTGATCAGGCTGTTAAGGGATCTCTTACGCCCATGAAGTTCTTTTGTTAATTTCTCTCCAACTTTTGCTGAAAATCAGAAAGGTGGTATTTATATTTTGTATGTATGGGAAAAACCTGAAATGTTTACAATATCCTCTTAATCCCATCACGATGTGACTGCCTTGTAAAAAATTGCTTTCTGTTTGATGTTCTGATAAATGAAAAGATCAGATTTTTGGAAATGAAAGAGGTGAAAAAAGTTGAATTAGATATTATTGCTACTTGACACTGAGACTGAGAGTATCTTTGTGTCACTGATTAAATCTTGTGCTGTGAATTCAAGTTCACAGAGGAAAAATGTATCTTTTGCTATTTTCTCTTGTACTGGAAAGAGGAACTTCTGTGTGTTACATCAATTCCTTATTAGTTTGTCTTTATGAAAAATATAAAATAAAGATATATTTGAATTTTCTTTGTGATCACAAACTATTGCGAATTTTCTTTTTTTGTTGTTGTTGTTGGGGTTTTTTGGGTCTGTCAAGAATATACCTGAGAAATAATTAAACTTTACTTTTTTTTTTTTTCTCTCCCCTAGGGCCAGCTTTCAATATTGCAAGAAAAAATAGATCATTTAGAGCGTCTGTTGGCAGAAAATAATGAGATTATTTCAAACATACGAGATTCTGTGATCAATCTGAGTGAATCAGTAAAGGATGGACAAAAAAATCCAGAGGCTGTAAACTTTGGTCAAGGATCTGTTTCTGAGCTGTTCCCTTCTGCTTCAGCTTTGCTTGCAGTTGATTCTGAGGATTGTTTGTTTGCTTCAAAAAGTGGAAGTCACAGTTCAGGTGTACAGGTAAGCAGTATGCCTTTAGCTGTCAGTATGTGTTTAATTCTGAAAATGTCAAGTTGTTGCTAAAATGTTGATACTAATAGAATTGCTAAAGTGACTGCTGTGTTTAACAGATAAAATGAAACTGTTCCTTTATATCTTTTTTAAAAGTTCTCTGGAAATTTAATAACGATTATGAAAAGCCAGCATTTGAGAAAGTTTAGAAGTTTTTTTTGGAAAAATAAATAAATCCCCACGGGGATTATTTCCTCACCAGTTCTTTGGAAACAATTTATTTGAGAATCTCTTTGATTTCCCCAAACTCTTCTAAAACTGATGAAAAATAACCTGGAAATTGTGGGTAGACTTGGTTTAAATAGATTTTACTTTTAGTGGCATATGTGTAGATGAAGCTTGATGGGGAGGTAAAGAATGTTCAAGAATTAGTAATTTCAAAAAAATCTTGGGTCCTTTTGAATGTCATTTCTGTATTTCAGCATTCCTGTGTGTCTCCAGTTTGTATAGGCACTTTGATCAGAAAGGAGAAACATATACCATGTTGACTGGTTGGCATAAACTGTGGAGGTTGAAGTTTTTAAAGTCAAACACTTCAAGCTGAATTTATTTTGCTTTCTGGTGATTCTTGTGAGTTCACGGACTCTTATATATTCAGTTTTAATGGAGTGATTGAGGAGCACTGAGAATACTCTGTGAAGTTTGTGATCTGTACTGTTTTTGTGAGTCTTGTGGGAGTACTATAAATATTCATAGTACTCTAAAGCAAAGATTAAATTTGAAGTCCAGCTTTCTCATTTCAGAATTTGAAGTATTTCTGTTGCAGGAGAATGACAATGGACTTCAGGCAAATAAATACAATAATTAGAACAATTGCAACCTCTGATGTATCATGCTTAATGCCTTTGAAGTCTTCAGGGACAGGCACTACCTTTATGTTTTTTATAGAGAAAACAGATTTTTTTAAAGGCAATATCTGAACACCACTTTGTGTGTCTGATATGCATTCAGATTTCTGTGCAGAGAAGTGAAACATCTGGACCAGTGGTTACAGGCTTATTCACTGTATGATCTGTTGCCATGTTAGGTGATGTACTTTTTTTTTCTGTGCATTAAAAATAAGTTCAAGTAAATTAATTTTGAGATAAAATATGTTGTCTTGCATTCTTGGGCATGTTATGAATGGAAGGTAAAGCATATGTTCTAAAACTGCACTTTGTTTTTGCTTCACACTTGCAGGATATAGCTATATCAGCCAACTATCTACTACATACCTAATGGGAATCTGTTGTAGCTAAACTGATTTTGGATAATTTTCTTTACTTTTATGTACATTTGTATGTACATAAGAAGCAAACATACTGTTTCCCTGCTCACGCTTTCCTTTCTTCCATGTGCCGGGAGGACGGCTTAAATGTTCTCTGTGTCATTGCATGGCACCCTCTGCTTAGCAGGTTATTCAGTGCCATCATTAAGTCACTTTAATAGTGCTTCTGTACACAGTTAATTTCCCATCCTGTGAGTTTGAGCTGCATTTCAGTTATGGAATCTAAGACCTTGACTTTAGAATTCCTCTAGCACCACATTAACAAACTGATCTAAATCACTGATCTAAATAGTAAAACTAAAACCAGTTTTGCTATTTAATACTTTGCCAACACTGATGTATTCTGCATGCTTAATTTATTTGAGACATTTCCAATAATTATTCTGAGCATTTTTTGAAAGAAATACGTGTTAATTGCTGCTGTTTGTAAACATTAACTTAAAGGCACAGATTTTTACATTACTTCTCCCATGTTTGTCAGGTGGGTATATGAGAGACTAGAAAGTAGTAAGAGCTAATATAGGTGAGATTAAATGTTTGGATAAGAAACCCCCAAACTTTACAGAATGAAGGCAAAAGAGTTTTCACTGAATAAATCATGAAAGTTGATTATAATCTCTCATAATGGAGAAACCATTGTAAGAAGGTATTCAAATATGTATTAAAAAAACCTTATGATGGTACAGTGAGAAATATTGCTAGATTTGCTGCTCAAAGACACATGATTTTGTAAAATAGAAAAACCAAGTTGTTAACAACATGAAACCAAAAAATTCTCAGATGGGACAGCTGAAGGATGCTTTTTTCATGGAGGAATTATAAATCAAGAAATTATTTTGCTACTTGTGCTGTTTTTAAGTAGGTAGAAAACTGTAACAGAACTGGAAACTGAAAATAAAGCTGACTTGTGAATGCTGTAATTTAAGTCAGGTAAAAGACTGGTGTGTACTTTTTTCCCAAAAGATAAATCATAGAGACAGGTAATAAAACCGCAAAAATGAAGATGACTGGATTAAATATGGATATGATCTGATGCTTTTTCAGTGTAGTATTTCAAGTAGTATTTGGCATTTTTGCTCAGAGAAGATGGAATTCTCAATAGTCATTATCCTGAGCTGGAGAGTGTTTTAAGTAATACAGTGAGGTGTTTTCTCCTCTTGTCCATTTCAACTACTGAAGCATCTAACATCAGGCTTAGTAATGTTACTCTTTTTGAAAATGAAACATAAATCACTCTTTGAAAAGGTCACTTGAAGAGGCACAATATGAGCTTTTATTTCTTTTGAGCAGTAGTTTAGTATTCACTGTTAAGATGTTATGATGTTTTCATGAGATTTATGTAATTTCAGCAATTTGAGTCCTTCAGTATAAAGAGTATGCCCATATAGAAAAAAGATAACTGATTACCTTTACAGTGTTTTAATAAAAGGTTTGTAGCAACATGGCTGTCTTCTGAAGCAGTCAAAATGAAGACAGGCAGCATCCTTTTTGAATTTCTACTGTCTACTGTTTATAAAACGTCCTCTATTTCTTTATCATAGATATAAATCTAAAATGTCTCCGTGAAATACTTTCTTTAACCTCTTTTGCCTTTTACTGACTGGCTTGGAATTTATTCTTCACTTGTAATCACGTAACTTGTTCAAGTGATGATGCAATTTGTAATTAATCCTTTGCACAATTCCTACTGAGGATGGTGTTGTATGAAAGAGCAAAAAGATTTAACTTCTGTCTTTTAGGTTTATTTTTGTAAGTGTAGGGATTTCACCCTGATCTGGCTTTAGCTGATTTCAGTGGAAGTTTTTCATTTTTTTCCTTGTCTTTTTTTAAACTGCTTCTAATTAACCTCTGAATCTGAATGGTTGAGGTTGCCAGGGAACTCTGGGTGTTGTCTGGTCCAACCCTGCTCAGGCAGGGCTATCAAGAGTCAGGTGTTGTGGATCACGTCCAGGTAACTTTTCGATATCTCTAAGGATGGTGATTGCACAGCCTGACTGGGCAACCTGTGCCAATGCTGGGTCCCCCTCACAAGGAAAAAGCTTTTCCTGATATTCAGGAGGAACTTTCAGTGTGTGCCCATCACCTATGATCCTGTCTCTGGGCACCATTGGAAAGAGACTGGCTCCACATCCTCTGCACTCTCTGCCTTTGATTTCCTGGGTGCTCCTTCTTGCCATTCTTGAAGACAGGAGTGACATTCTTTCCTCCAGTCTTTGGGCACTTCCAATCACCATGGTCATTCAAAGCTTTTTAAGTGTGGCCTTGTAGTGACAACAGCCAGCACTCATGGCTGCATCCCACCAGGGCCCATGGACTTAGATATGTCTCATTGGTTTATGTATTCCTTGTGCTGGCCCTGTTTCAAGAAGAGACAATCTGATTCTGGCCACATTGTCTCTGATGAAGGCCAGAAAGCATTCAGAGAGGCACCCCAGCATGCTAATTTCCCAGGAAGGATTTTGGGGATTTCTGTGTGATTGTGCCTTGTTTGTACTTCCTTGCTTGTCTACAAATGTCGGAGGTGACCCAGTTTTACTGATTTCCTATATTTTTTTAAAAAAACCTTCCCTATGACATAATTCCTGACCACTATTCTCTCAAAGGGCTGCTGTTGATTTTCTCCTTCCCCTTTTATTCTTAGCCAGAAGCTCCTTAATAGTTTAGCTATCTTCCTGGCAAAGGTACCTCTGCTGCCCTTAGCTGGATCTCATCCCTCCCAAACAGGCACAGATCGGAAAACAGGGTCAGAGAACCCCCAGCACCAACTCTGAGGCCAATTATTGATCTATACTAACACTGTCCTCCTCTCACACTCTTATGCCCCTCACTGGTGCATAGAAGGGAACCCCATCTGTTACCTTGATTACCTACAGAATTCTGCAGTCAGTTTTGATGCAGTCTGTGCTGCCTGTGGCAGTATCAGTGATACCCACATGGAAGTACAACAAGGGGTACTTCCTCGTAGCCATTGAGTTGGATAAGCTTCAGCAGTTCCTCTACAATACCCAGGATTCAGGCCTTTGTAAGGCAGCAAACATCTCTAGATGATTGATCAGGGACTCTAAGACCTATTTCCTGAATTGCAGTTTCTGTCTCTCATAGTCATATCAGCTTGGTTTGGAATAGCTGTAAAGTTGTGGATGTCAGTAAAAAAAAAAAAAAAAAAAAAGGATGTTATGACTGTAAAAATTAGTATCTTGAAGAGTGCAGAAAATTGCTTGTCAAATTCAAACTGCATCCATAAGAAAAACTCATAGGAATATGTAGAATTCCATGAATTACTACTTTTTAACCAAATTATATTTTTATGGTTGGAATGTCCGAAGAGTTTGTCGGTCCTAAGGCTATTCATTGTTAAGTGGCAAATTTACAAAGTATACGCTTATATTTTCTTCAGAACATTTTATTGCAGAGAAAAAATACAGTTCTTCAAACTCAGGTTTTAGAAAATACAGTATTTAGAAAATATGAAATAATAAAATATATCTATATTACATATTATATAAAATATGTATTATTTATTATTTCTCTAATATATAAATCAGCCTAATAGTGTATTTAGAATATATGCTATTAAGCTAGCCAACTTCAGCATAAACCTTATTTGGGCCCTTCAGACTGACAGTACAGAATCTTCAAGTATTGCACCTGTGTTTTCCACTAATCAATATTGTCCAAATATTGAAGCAATCATGAGGGACAAGTGATGTGACAAGATCATCTCGCACAGGCCATGGGTGCCTGGTGTACATGGATTCTCTCTGAGGCTATAGATATCTCGTGCACATTGCAGGCCCAGCTCAGGCTCTGCTAGATGCAGGATTGCTGTGTTGTATTCCCTTCTTACATTACCTTGTTCCCTTCATACCTTAAGCTAAGGGCCTGTGGTGGATTGACCTTTTCTGGCTGTCAGATTCCAGCCCATTCAAGGTCAACCCACTGTTTTTCCTTTAAGGACCAGAATCTGTGTCTTGAGGATTAAGAGATAAGGAGTGGTATGGCCAAATTTGGACTGAGCATTGCCAGAGCAAAATAACTGTGGGGATTCTTTTGTTGTTCTTATGAGGTGAAAGGGCAAGGAGTGGAGATTTACCTTGTATGTGGATGTGTGTAAAAAATTCCCTTTCTCAGGATTTTTATGTCACTGTGATTTAATATGGGAAATGTTGGGGATTTTTTGTTTATATAAATGAAGTTTGTAAAGAATATGTGATAAATATATATTTTATTGACTGTTCTTAAGTAAGTGTTTCACAGAGGTGAGAGTGGAATGCTCTGGGTGCAGATGTCCAGGTGTTGGCAGTGAGGGTCTCCAGTATCTGTGAGGAGAGGCCAGTCCTGCCCCGTGCCAGACACAGCTCCAGACCCACCACGGGGTACAGCCTCCATCAGCAAAGCGTGTCAGTACCACTGGCAGATTGGGTTTTAAGAAAGGGTAAAATGCTGCCTGACAGTCTAAAGGCTGAAAACAGGGGCAAAGCCATCCTGTGAATGCCGTGGTCCTTGATGAAGAAAGCAGAGAAGGCATTCTAGTCGCTGGAGCAGGTTGGGAAGACCACAGTGTTTCCCTGAAATCTGTGACAGGACCTCATGCCAGAGTAGGTGGATATTTTCAGGAGGAACTGGAGCCTGTGGGGGATCCACACCAGAGGAGTTCCTGATGTGCTATGTCTTGTGGCTCTCAGCTGCAGCAGGCAAAACATGCGAGAAAGAGACAGCAGCAGAGAGGAAACATTATGGACTTATCTCTCATTATCCAACTGTATTTCAATTGGCAACAGATTAATTTAATATTCCCAAAGTCAGGTCTATTTTTCCTGTAACGACAATTGGTAAGCGACCTCCCCGTTTTTATCTTCACCCATAATATTTTATATTTCTCTCCATGTTTTGTTGATGAGGAAAAATGAGATACCAGCTAGGTGGAGACCAAAGTCAACTATTGCAACTAGGCCTTAATTTCTTTAGTCAGATATTTGTTTCAGATGTCTGTAGTTTTTTTTTTAAGTTTTCCTAGCAGGACAGAAAGCACCTTAGCACTGGGAAGGTTTAACTCTTGTGGTGTTGAAGTAGTGAATGACTGCAGTAGGAGTCCTTTTTTTGTGTAAATGAATTTTTTTTAATAGAAATTTTGTCAGGTGTACAATTGTATTCTAACAGGGGTTTGGAACTGTTTAAAGTTTAGTTATTAATCTAGAGTGTCTGGAATTGCTTGTCTGATGTCAATTCATGTTTGTATGTTGTTTTCTTTCTTAAAAGCAAACCAGAGCCTTACAAAAACAATTTTCTTGAATCTCATATTAGTAGACTCTCTTTGAAGCTATATCCTAAGTTTCCTTAGTTAGCTCCCTAAGTTTCATAGGAACTTGTTAGAGTAATTCTAGAGTTGCTTTATTTATCTGTGACCTTTTTATTCGCATTGACAAGTGACATATATCCTCCCTTGTACAATTACTATACTAGGGAACAGGAAATGTACAAGAGGCTTTGTTATAGCAATTGGCTATAGTTATCAACATTTTTGTTGATAGCGTCTTTCAGTTCCTTTTTGTGATTTTGATGTTTGCCTCTATCTCTCTCATGCTGTCATTCCTTCTTGCTCAGTTTATTTCGTTCATTTCCTGCATTCCCCTGTTTAGGGTACTGTGTTATTTTGTATAATTGTCTTCATAACCTCCTGCCCAATGCCATTGTGAGCTGCCATAATTTTTGTACTTAAGGCTCTTAATCCTACTGTTTATCTAATCAATGTCAGTTTCCTCAGTACAGAGCCTGCCAAATTCTCCTCTTCCTGGCAGCTGTGTCTTTGGTGTCCTAGTGTGATTTGAAACTTGCTCTCATTTGTCGGTTTTCTATTTATTTGGCACATCATCCTTCCCTCTGTAATGAACAAGCGGATCCATTTTAGGTGAAAACAGCTTTGTTTTTTAATAGCAGAACTGTTTCTGTGAATTCATATTTTATATTCCTTTAATTTTTCTTTTTAGATGCTGGATGTCTATGACATTCTTCCTTTTGATAATCCAGATGGTGGCGTTTGGAAACAAGGATTTGATATCACTTACAATGAAAATGAATTTGACAATGAACCACTTCAAGTTTTTGTTGTGCCTCACTCACATAATGATCCAGGTAATATGTTAACTGAATTGATTTGAGACTCTAGAGGCTTTTGGATTAGGAAATGCATTGCCATTTCTGTCAAAATTTGGGTACTTTTTAAGCATACCATTTAATATGTTATATATAAGTCTACCAAAGCAGTGAAACAGATGTATGATTTAAGTGCCATTGACTTCCAATGACAACTATTATGATATAAGTTGTATGTCTACTGAATACATAACTGGAGCAGAGCTTCAGTGTTGAAATTGAAAAGTGATGGATTTCTCCTAACACATTCAGTTTATACATTACTGCATTAAATACCATGAATTCTTATTCTGATTTTTTGGACTATGGTAGATATTTAATCTTTAGCCGATGCTAAAGAAATGTACTTTTAGAAGATGTGACAATGGCAAATCTGAAATTTTTGACACCTTCTTCATTCTTCACTTTTTTTGTGCATACCCCAACCTATAGTGGGATAATGAAAAGTCTACATTTAAACAGAAATATAGGTATACCTACATAATTTCATTTCCACCAAAGTTGGTTTACAGTGTAATAAACAAAATGGAGAAGTGTTCCTTTATTTTGGAAGTGTTCCTTTATCTTTTATTTTATTTCTTTATTCTTGGTAAAATTTACCAAGAAGCAAATTATACTGCTACACTGTGGTCCTGGTACATGTACACTGACCACGGGAGGCTGGTAACACTGGTTGTTGTCACAGAAAGCCACAATTTAAGTGATATTAAATTTTACTCCTGTATATCTCTCTAAATTTAATTTGTTGCATGAGCACTGTGGATCTGGGCAAAAGTATGGTAGTTGGAACATAAATGGCTTTTATTTGCAAGCATGTAGCATTCCTAAAGAAAATGAGTGTTGGAATGTGGAATTACTATATTACTGTCCAGTTATGACAGGTAAATTATGGCAGTATGGATATGATAAAAATATTCAGAGCAAACAATCACAGTATAGACCTAGATCTGCCTTTTTATTGAACTGTCTTTCAACCTGTGTCCATTCATTTCCTCTCTGGTTGTAGTTCTCCTAAAGACTTCCCTAGAAAGAAGCAACTCTGTACAGGCACATAATGAATCAAAGCAATACTAAAGCAATATACAGAACTTATCATTCTCTTGGGTCTACTCCCAAGACAATGTCTTTACCTGAATTGAGCAAACACCCTGTGCACAGTGTAGGCTGAGTTAACTTCTCAGGCACATGAGGCTTAGGACCTGCAGGGGAATGTCCTGAGGTAAGATGTGAAGAGATTTGCTGATAATTTCACCAGTGTCTGCTCAAGTAATGAGGTACTTTTTCTGCAGATTCTGGTAATTTCAATGTACGTGAAAGATATTTAGCAAGAAATGGCATGAGTAAAGTTATAGCTGTATCAGCTGCAGAAGCTTTAAATTCTCATTAGATTTTATCTTTTCTCATCTGAGGCTGTTTCCTCTTTAACTTTTCATATAACCAGGTATGCTAGTGAGAATGTGTAGCCCAAAGGCAAAGAAAAGGACTTGAAACAGCTTTGTCTAGGGGGTAGCATCCCTGCCCATGCTGTAGGGCTGGAGATTGCATGGTCCCTTCCAATCCGTGTCACTCTGTGAATCTGTGAAATACAATCATTAGTGAAGGTGGTGGGTTTAAGTTCCACCTTCTTTTTCGGAGGATGACTGAATGTGCCAGTGCTCTGAAGCACTTTGTGATGCTAAATCTGGGTTAACTGCTTCTCAGTGAATTTAACCATGACCTGCAAACTTGGGGTCTCTGTGCTTCTCTCTGCAGTAAAGTGTTTCCCTTTTGGGAAATGGGTTGAATGAGAGTGGGTCTCCTTCAGACTTTTGATTATGGTGGCACGATTGTTTTAGTTGCTGGCAGTTGATAAAGATTTGAGCACCTCAGTAGCATGTCCTAGTCGTAAACCATGGAGAGAAATTTGGTTGTTGTGTGAAATTACAGCTATCACAGATAGGTGGCAGTTCCATCAGGAGCGGATTGAGTATATAGCCTGCTGTGCTGGCGCAGCCCTTATGTTGGCTCTCACCTGCTTCAGCTGTGGTGTTTTGTGGCTGCCTGAAGTGGAGGAGGCAGCTGAAATGCAAAGGGGAAACCTCGGATCAGGGCTGGCAAGATTGTAAGCCAGCACAGATGGACTTGAAAGATGAGGTTTGGATATGACCAGAGAGATGGAGAGACACCTCTACTATCTACTGATCTGTAATAATTTTGGTAATGACTAGTTGTTAAATTATTTAAGAATCGAGACTTGTAAGCTTTCTAAAATATGTGTGTACCAGTATCTCACTGCTGAATGTGGTGGTTACAGACCTGGTATAAGCAGTACTTAAATGTAATTAAAAGTGACTGAAGTAGATTTTTCTCTTGCTTCTCAACCCACATGGAAGTGTATGGGCACAAAGATCAGAACTAAACACTACTTTTTAACACTTCATCAATTATCTATGACATTGGCAATTTTACCTTACTACCACTCACATTAATCACCTTTTGTTATTTAAGACAGTCTCCATTTCTCAGGAGGAAATCTATATAGACCTAAGTCAGTTTAAGATATAAGAAAACTTAACCATAAAACTTGATGCTGTTAATGCACCTGGAGTTTCATGTACATTTTCCATTAGCTGAGTCTGGATATGTTTTTTCTGGTGAGTTCTTCACCAGAAAAGAGATTGTTTAAGCTGTTGTCTGACCCACCAAAATACAAGAAATGGGGAACTCACAAGTTTTTCTTGACGTGCTGAATGAGGGAAATTAGAGCTTTATTCCTGGCTTATTTTTCAGTATTTCTATGTTTGCAGAAGAGGTGCAGTTCCTTTGAAAATCGACAGAGCTGTTACAGAAAGAACACTTCTGACTGCTGATCAGTAGAAATTTCCTTTCCATCTTAGCTATGATGGCAGCAGATTTAATATGTACTAAAGCAAAAATAGATCTTGCATAAGACTTAAAATGTAAGAAGTCTAATTATAATTTTGGTAGTACCTCACAGATCATGGCAGATTTTACTTTTTGTGAAGTGTGCAATCATTCACATTTTTAGTTATACTTGTGAAATTAAGATAAATTAAATCATTCTTGTTTTACCTTAAGCAGAGATCTTTTACAAGTTCAGGTATGCTCTTGGAAAAGTAAATACACTGTCATACTTTTAAAATTTCTGTGTATTTTCATCTGCCTAAGTTATTTTAGTACATATTTTGTAGGAACAAGAAGCTTATCTCTCTAATTCCTTTTGAATCAGAATGAATGCTCTAACACAGGAGTGTTTCAGGGGACTTTCTTTCTCTGATTTGACTATGTGAAACAGAAAAATGAGAGACTCTTAAGCAGCTTTTAGTTTTAATTTGAGATTGCCTACCATCGGGTTTTTCAAGTTTTATTTCACAGTCGTGGCTATGAGTCATTCATCTTCGTTGAAAAGATACTTTTTGGTATCTATCTGAAGTGTTATGTCAGAAACATCCATAAAATATTAACTTGTATGCCAGTTTTATATTTTACACGACAGAATGATGCAGTACTTCTAAATTTTAAAAAAATTGTGTGTATTCTCTACTTTAAAATAAGGGAAATTTTAAAATGCTGAATCGGCAAAGAAGCTAATGCCAAATTATTTTAATGTGTAATCATGCTTACTAAGATGTAAGTTAAAACTTAGCTTTTGGATTTATTTCTGGTGTTTGTCTTATTGTTATTCGCTGAATATGATCAACTAAACACACATGCATACTATGCTTAAGTTCTTTAGAGCTCTTCTTTTAGAGGTAAGAAGTCATGGCTACATATCCTTTTGTTTGTGTTTTTGTTTGTGGTTTTTGTTTGTTTTGTTTTATGAAAAACTTTTACTCTTGCATTTTGTGGGGCTTGGATGTAATTAAGAACAAGGATAACCTCACAGTTTATGACACCTTTTTTTTGCTTCCTCAGCTATCAAAACAATCTTCTGTCTCTTCTCACAGGAAGTAGTTAGTTGAGAATCAAGCATAAATGTAAAAAAAATCCATTGCTGATAATTTTTCCAAACTTGGGTGTACATTTTAAAGATCAAGAACTGAAGTTCCACTAAGATATTTGCAAAGAGAATGCTCTTATTTTCTAGAAAACTGTATAGTGCTAGCTGAAATGTAACAGTTTATTTAATACTGACATAAGAGAAATAAATTACTCAAGTTTCTTGTGTTGCAAGAAGTGTCACTGATGGCTGAATTTTAGACTCAGTGAAATTAATTATGATCTCCTGAAAAGTGAATCAGAGATTCACATTAATCCACTATATATTGGCATAATATTTCAGAAATTCATGAGGTGATCTGCCTCTTCATTAAAACAGACTTTGTCAGAAACAAGATTTTATTTTTTAAAGGCACATTTCCTCTTAAACATTCGAGGGTGACTTTTGGAAGTAAGCAATTGAAAAGCTTACTTTTTATTTCATCAGTTATTTTAAACCAAAATACAAAAATACAAATGTAGAAAACCACCCCAGGAGTCTTGCAGGTGTATGTACGCAGTGTCATGATCAAATTGTTATGTGCTTTTGCTTAATAAAGTTACTTTTTGAATAACACTAATTTGTCAGCTTCTGTTCTGATTTTGTCCTGAAAGTTTCCCTTTATCTCTACGTCTGAGTCAACCATGCTAAGACGCAAGAGTGCCTTTCTCTAGTGCAAGGAGCTGATAGAACTTCAAGAAAGATTTTGAGCTTGAAAGGGTAGACAGGAATAGTGGCAAATCAGTTAATAAAATGTTCCAGGACTTTGCAGAGCAATGAGTTGTGTTGATGCTCAGCTGTGATTCTTGCATTTGCTGTCAATCCAAATAAATTTACATTATGGGGGGAAAAAATCAATTAAAGAAACAGCTGCATAAGGATGATAAATCTCATGGAGGTTGGGGGGAGATAGCAAGTTTCCATACTTGGAAACAAGGACAAGCATGAGAGAAAGAATAAAAAGGCAAGCATCTCAGCAGTGTATGTATACCCTCTGTTGTTATCACATAGGCTGGCAGAAAATGAAAATATCTGACAAAGTCCTCAATATGTATTAAGCCTAGCATAATAATATGAAAGACAGTACAATTTTTTCTCTTGCTTACAGGGTTATTAAACATTGGAATGGTGGAGTCACCATCCCTGGAGGTGTTAAAGGAAAAACTGCATGTGGCACTGAGTGTCATGATATGATTTATAAGGTGGTGGTTAGTCAGAAGTTGGACTTGATAATTTCAGAGTTCTTTTACAACCTCAATGATTCTGTGATCTTGTGATTTTTATGCTGACAAAGGGCTTTATGTACATTTAAACCACCAAGCGTTATTTTGCTGTTAATAGCATATTTAGTCTTGATAATTGCAGCTTTAAACTATTGCAATTTTTCCATGTGTAAACTGCCTTTGTATTGAAAGTTTCCTGTTCAAAATGGTAAACCTTTTCTTTCAGCCTGGGAACAAATTCTTAGTTCATGGATAAGCACAAGAATGAACTTGAGTTGTAGATTCTTATGTTCTATTAGTGACTGTGGTGTGAAATAATACTCTAGCTAGCAATTATACATCGATTTATTCATTATTTTGTTTCGCTTTTGATTTGTTTTTCAAATTTTTATTGTATGTCTCCATGCAAAATTGAAGAGTCTCTGTAAGTCATTTGGTTTAGAGCAGCACACTTCCGAAAGTGTGGCATTCTGTTGGCTTTCAGCTAAATCTACGAATACCCCTAAAAATTTCCTAGGACTCTCTGGAGTGTATTCATTTCAGTGTGTTAACCATGCTAAAATCTTCCTTAGCTTAATAAACTGAGTATGTTAAAACAATCATTTCATTATAACACTGAACACTTTTTCCCTACATCATACTGTATTCTTTTGTCAGCTACTTTGACATTAAACTCAATGTTTCAGTTAAGCTGGTTTAATAATGTTTTTAAGAATGTTTCAGAAGACTAATGTAAATTTGCTTTTATTGCTGCAATATAAAATATTTTTAAATAGTTCATTATGATGATATATTTTTGTGCAGGAAAATCATAGGATGGCTTTAATTTATCCTCCTTTAGTTGTGTGCTAGGATGATACTGTCTCTTGCAGAAGAAATTTCGGATATGCAGCTATAAACTGGTAGTCTAATACAGGTGGATATTTTCAATGTAATCATCAGTAAAATATTCCTTTGATTTGTTTAAAAGTAAATGAGAATTGAGAAAGAATAATTTGCTATGTGATCTCAATTTTTTTGAGTGGAAGTACCTATTAAAAAAAAACCCAGACTGAAGTGGGAAGAGGTCAGAAAGAAATTTGATTACCAATTCAGATTATTCATCACATTTTTTTTTTCATCCTTTAAACTATTTCATAGCTGTAATTTAGAGTCAACAGTTTTTTGTATCAAGCTATTTCCATTCCTATAAAGAAAGTATGTTTTAATTTTATGCTTTAAGCCCTCATATTAACTACCTTGACAAAATGCATTTTTGCCTTTTAAGATAGATTAGACCCCAATTGTCTATCTCTACAGAAACTTATAATCAAAAGTGATGGTCCTCTAGATGCAAAACATCTGTAAAAGAAAAAAAGAATGACCTAGAACTTTTCCTCTGGAGTGTTACAGTTTTATTTTTTCTTTTGTGAATTAAAAACAGTATTTCTGCATCTAAGAAGAATGTTTGGGGTTTTGTATCCCTAAAAGAAAGTATGATATATCCTTTCTGAGTCAATAGTCAGAATATATATAATGATATATAATTATAATTTATTTATAAATTATTTTTTAAACTAAATTTGAGAATTATTTTTTAGCAATAAAATTTTTTTGCATTTATGTAACTTCCTTGAAACAATAAAATGTCATTGCATAACAGCCTAATCCTGTTTCCTATAAGCAGACTGGCACTATTAGAAAGGCAGTGGCTCTGCAGAGCTGAATTGGTAAATCAGAGTGGAATTACTAGTGTAATATTTATCTGGAGTGCTGTCTTCACATAGTGTGGAGGCTTTCACAAAATTTTAAAATGGGCATACTTGACAAAAGCTGGTAGGAGGAGGAAGGTGACACTATAGAGTAAGTAGTAAGTAGACAGACTTAATTTTTTCAGGTACAGTTACAGGTTCTGTGCATATACTCTCTAATGCAAGGTATTATGAAGAGGTTAAAAAATTTTATGTAAGACTGTAAAGTCTGAAAATGTTAAAAATGTTTTCCTTTGCATCTCACCGAAGCACAATTATTTGAGTCTATGTATTCTGTTAATCAAATTTTCTACTATACAAAGCATAGAAAAACTAGAAAGTGAAAAGTCTAATAATTTCCATATGTTTATACATTTAGGAAATAAAACATGGAATCTTTTATAAAAAGAAACTCCATGGAAATTTAGCACTTCATGGTGTCCATGACACAGAAAGAACAGTCTTTACTTAGCTTTTTCTGGGGAGTGAGAAGGAGCCAATTCTGTCAGGGGCTGTTCTCTAAAGAGGCTCAGAAGCCACTTCTTTAAAGAAGATTCATTTATATTTTCTTTTTCCTAGGTTGGCTGAAGACTTTTGATGATTACTTCAGAGATCAGACACAGCATATTTTAAATAACATGGTTATAAAACTGCAAGAAGACAACCGAAGGAAATTTATATGGTCTGAGATTTCCTACTTTTCAAAATGGTGGGATGGAATAGATAGCCAAAAAAAAGATGCTGTTAAAAGGTTTGAGTACTGAACTTTTATTCTGTGTATCTTGTTTTGAGATTTTGTATATTTGACTATACTGTAAACTTGAGATTTCACTTGTGATGTGGAATTGCTAGAATAATGGACTAACTGCTTCAGTTCCAACTTTTTGGGATTGGTTTGGTTTTCTCCCAGTTGCAAAATAGGAATCTACTCAAGGAGGTGGAGACAAATTACTGAGTCAAATTACCAAGTTGCCTAAAAATTTGACAGAAGTTCCCCTGCACAACCATGAACATGTCATTAAAATTGTAAGGGAGTAGCAATTATAATCTTTATTTGAAATCACACTAAGGAATTGGCAATAAAATAAATACATCTTTCACACTAGCTATTGAGATATGGTGGTTTCTCCTTGTTGCAATGATATGCGATTTTTGTTTGAATAAAAATATGTGAGTTTCTTTTGTGTTTAAGTACAAAGGGTTTTTATAAACATGCAGCTGCTTTAAGGGTGAAGTAGTACACACTCTACACCCTTGCTCTTCTTAGTAATTTTTAAAATCACAAGTCTAAATGGAATATAGAAGTAAAAGGTTTGCCTAGGCATTGAGACAAGGAAGCAGGCTGCTTGGATAAGCTTGCAGTATAGATCTAGTTTGGAGTTTTTATAAAGTGGGGACTTCTTTTCTTATTTTTACTTGGCTTTTTTTTTTTTTTCCTTATTTTTATGTAACAGTTCTTAGCCCATCCTTGTGATAACTTCCTTCTCATGCCCCTCTTTGAGATGCCTGTGTTGCAGTATGCATTAAGTCTGTGAGACCTTCACAGACTCAAAGGTTAGGTAAAAGTGGAAATTTTGGGATCTAGGTAAAAAAGCTACTTATTAAAAAAATTATCTGCAGTGGGTGACTATTATAGCACAGCTGTATAGTTTTTTGACATTAAAAATATCTCTTGGAACACAATAAACAGTAAATGACAGTCAATAGGGAGCTGTGTCCTCTCTTCAGAGGAGTCAGGTATTGGTTAAGCTGCACTTGAGATTGGAGAAGACCTAGTGAAGCTGCCCTTGATATTATTTTTGTTGCATGATTTTCATTACTCCTATTAGTATCATCTGTGATGGGACTAAGTTTTGATGAGTTCACTGTGGTTTTTTTCTTGAATTCATTAAACACTTCCACTCTGGTGAATAATGTAAGTGCTGAAACTGTGGGGACAAGCTGGTGCTGGGAGTGTGATCTTTATGTACACTGACAATAGAGAGGCTGGGTTATCCTGTGACCTGTTTCAGTAAGGCATTTTGATGAGTGAGATGTTCTGAAATGTTTATAAATACAATAAACCTCCAATCTATCAGCTCTCTAAAAGTCTAAAAAGAATGTAAGATCAAAGATGGGGAGATATTTCAAGCAGTGCTTGAAGTGTGCAGTGTCTAAGCATCTTGCTCAGTTGGCCTTCAGTGCTGTGGTACATTTATTTTATTTTTTTAATCTGTGCAGGAAACAGCTTTCTTCCCGATTTTTTAAAAAAATCTAACGTAGCACATGCAATAGAACTGGTTTTCTTTGCACAAGGACATGAAATACTTCACTGTTCAACAGTTCATTTTCTTTAATCAAACAGTTCCCTGTTTGATTAAAGAAATATAGCCCAGTGATGAAAGTAGCAAAAACAATTTAGATTTTAGAATAATATTGCTGGTGATAGCAATGTTAAATTGAAATTCATTTAAGAGTCTTTTCATATGGAAGATTCTGAATATGATTTATATATTTTTCAGGTTAATAAAAGATGGACAATTTGAAATAGTAACAGGAGGATGGGTCATGCCTGATGAAGCATCTTCTCATTATTTTGCTTTAATTGACCAGCTGATAGAAGGACACCAGTGGCTAGAAAAGAACCTTGGTATGTACATTAATCTAAAATTTAACTATGTAAATACAAGAAGTCAGTAAGAAAATACTTTTTGGTTACTTTTCTGAGGTGCTTAGAAGGCTCTTTTTACTCAGCTTTCCTGAAACTTTAAATCAGACCACTTACAGGAAGCTGCATCAAGTCTGGTATTTGCCATTCATGTTTGCAGATAAAAGTTCCTGTACAAAGTATATTTGAACAATTTTATGCCATAGCATTTTGTCTTGATCAGTATAAGACATGCATATAACGGCTTAACTAGATCATGCTGAATTTTAGATCCCGTGTCTAAACAGTCTTTAGTTGCCTTTTCTGTCTTTTGAATATCATGACAAAATTCTTAAAACTACTTAAAAATTGATACTGCTTTTTTGTGTTTGGATCTATTCTGCCTGCACTGTGTTCATTAGAGTCTCTTCTGTAAGGATTTCAAAACAAAAAATTGTATGTAGCAGCAGCAGTAGTAGTAGTTATAAAACCCAAACCCATAGCAATGTTAGAACTGAGGAATTATTGACTGTAGTTACATTGGCTGAACTGTTTTTCTGCCTTTGGGATGTTCTTTTGTTTAGTTCCATAAGAGGAGAGAAACCTTTTTATATAGAAAATATTTGTGCAGTGATTTTAATAATGAATTGACATTATTTCACCCAGTTAACTGAAATTATTTTGGAAAGCTGTTTTACTATTGTTCTTAGATTGCAATTTCTATAAACACACCTTGACATAACTGGAGGGGGAAGGGAAGACCTAATAAAAGGGTAATGCATTCCTTACTATGCTTTTTTGGAAAGACTGTAAAAAGTGCCAAAGAAACCATGTTGATGAAATGATAAGAGTTAGATGTAGCTTCTTTAGTTACTAGCATGAAGTTCAGTGAAAAGAGCATTAATAAACATGATTCTCTTTATCAACAAACTAATAAATTTAAAAAAAAGTTCTGAAGCTAACAAAGATTAACATTATTTAAATAACAGTGAAATTTCAACAAGCTATTGCATTTATCTATCCACATCCATTCATTTTCTTTCAATTTTCTTTTTTAATTGTAATATCTGTAAACTACTTTAAGTGAGGATGTGTATCAATTAATGATTCCAAATAAAGATATGTGATGCAAATTTAAAACAGTGTAGTGACAAGTACACTGTTTTTTTTTAGAATGCCTTACTTACAAGACATTTTGTTTGCTTGTTTGTTTAACTCCTTAATTCTAGTTTTTTAATTCCAGGGTTCTGCAGGAGATTTAACACTTAACTGGGTATATCATCTTGGAAATGTTATCTTTAGTACTCTCATTTGAATTATTGGAATAACTTTCTTGAGTGAAAAGTAAAGCTTTTTACTTTTGTCAACAGGAGTAAAACCAAAGTCTGGATGGGCAGTTGATCCATTTGGGCATTCACCAACAATGGCCTACCTTCTGAAGCGCGCAGGATTTTCCAAAATGCTTATTCAGAGAGTTCATTATTCAGTTAAAAAACATTTTGCAACACAAAAGACACTAGAATTTTTTTGGAGACAGAACTGGGGTATGTGTTGTTTCTTTTATGTCAATTTATTTTGTTAATTTACACAGGTAAAATATGAAGAGAACTTGAATAAGTACTGTAGAAATACTTTCAGACAAGAACTAGCAGAGTTTGTTTAGACCTGAAAATTTTAAACTTGCAATACTGTTAAACAAAAGCCTTTCATCTACCTTAAATTTATGAGGTTTTTTTTTCCTTTTCCTCCCACCATTTGAATAACATAAGGGGAAATGAGAATATTTGTGAGTTAGGAAAGGCACTAAATGTAAAACTGATGTAATTGCCATTGTTCCTCTATTCCTCTGATCTTCCCTTGTTTTCACCTTTATTTTTGCTTTTACCTTCTCTTGTTTTTTTTCCATTCTCTCATATTCCTTGCAAAAGTAAAAGGGGTGAAAAATTCTTTTACTTGTTTTTACTTTTCTTCTTCCTCCTACTCCTTTATTTCCTACTATGTGGAAATAAAGCATAGGAGGAGGAACATTTCAACTATTGTGCTAATGAGGCAATGACAGGAGGGTGATTGGCTTTTATTTTGTTTTTTTCTTTGTTTTGTTTTGATATTTGTTTTTTTAGGTTGTTGTTTTAATCCACTCCAAGTTTAAAAGACGTTTATTATTATTGTGTTTTATTACTTCTAAAATTCTGGAAATCACAAGTTTTATCTGGGTAAAACACACCTAATATTTGTTCCTATCCTTCCCAATCAGTTGGTGCTTCACTAGAACCTTCCAATTTTGGTTGTAACTTTGTTTTATCATCTTCATACATGTCAGGTACATACAAAAATAGACTCAAGTTATGGATATTCAAAATGAATTGTCTTGGTGTGGTGTCTTTCCAGTACAATCCTTGGACTGAAAACACAGGAGTAATTTACTTTTGGTAAATCTGAAAGGGTTTCTTTTAAAGTTTTACTCTATTTAATTCCAGATTTGGGATCCAGTACAGATATTCTTTGTCATATGATGCCTTTCTATAGCTATGACATTCCTCATACTTGTGGCCCAGATCCAAAAATCTGCTGCCAGTTTGATTTCAAAAGACTTCCTGGAGGAAGAATAAGTTGCCCTTGGAGAGTCCCACCAGAAGCCATTCATGCTGGAAATGTTCAACACAGGTACAGTTTGTACATACTCCTCTAGGGAATAACCTTAAAAAAATGTAATTATGCTGGCCAAAGAAGACATCTGGCATAGCTTGGTGAATTTAATTCTGTTGTGGTTCAACCCCATTGAGCAGATCAGCTCCACTAAGCTCACTGCTGCTCTGGTGGGATAAGGAAGAGAATCAGAAGAGTAAAATGAGAAAACTCATGGGTTGAGATGCAGGAGAGGCCTTGGCTCTGTGCAAGCCCTGCTCAGAAATAACAAAATCATTTCTCTGTTGTCATCAGAGCAAATCCAGATCAAATCCCATACTGGCTGCTGTGACTCTACCCCAGCTAAAACCAGGTCAAGTTTTTAAAATAGGCTTCTCATGGGTAAACAATATATATTACATAACCTAGTGTTTGCTCCTTAGTTGGGAACATAACTCTTAGTGAAATTAGAGGAAAAGTTATAGTTAAGGAAGGGGCATTTTTAAAAATTTTCTGTTCATGATACATGAGTCCATCTCTGAATAACAGTAAGAACACAATCATCTGGTTGGACTCATGTGGTTTTTGTGAATTTTGTGGACAGTGATCTGTCTCCTGAAAATGGAACACTTCAGAAGCAGAGCAATGTAGTGTGCTGTAACTACAAACAGTGGAATATTTCCTGTGGTATATCCTTGAAAAAATTGGTATCCTGTGGCCTAAGTTTCCTGAAATGTAAACAGTAAGTTAATCGGATTCCTGTTTCTTTGTACCCAAAGTGAAAATTCCTGTTTCTTTGTGCCCAGGGTGGAAATTACTATTAACCTCAGTTTTACTTTTCAAACAGAAACATTGAGTAGTTTTGCCACAGTCAAGAATCACATTTACACTTCTACAAAACTGCTTCTCAGTTTTGGGGGGTGGAGGTAGGGAGCTGGGGAGGGAGAGTAAAGGAAGGGAAAAAAAAAGAAAAAAACAAAAGAAAAGGAAATGAGTTAAATTGCCAAAGGTGATCCAGAAAATAGTTTTATTCTGTGGTCCTGTTGCTATCAGGCTTCACACTACACCAGGTTTCCAGGGTTAGAAGTTGAGGCAGCTGTTTATTATTTGTGCGAATTGCGGAACATAACAAATACATTAAGGAGAGCAGGGTGACTTTTTGGTCCTTTATGCTGAAGTTTTAAAGTGATGATGTGATGCACTGCTTGTCTACAGGTCAAGTATGGGTCACTTTTTTCCTGAGTATAAATTCTGACAAACATAATGAAAACTTCACTTAAACAGAATTCAGTTACAAAATATTACTGAAGATAAAACCAGAAATAAACAGAATGCGTTATAACTGCTGTATTTAAAGGTAGCAATTGGAATGATGATAAGAAAAAGGGGGTTTTAACAAAGTAGAAAAAAGAAAGATGATGGTGGCATGAGAAAAGTAGAGAAATTGTGACACACCCAATGCCAATTGCACGTGAAGGAAAATTCATATGTCATTAAATCAAAGTTGTAAAAAAGAAAAATCTTGACTATATATCTCAATTAGCTGAGACAAATATTTGCAAAAACTCAACAGCTTGTATAACAAATACCTGGAACACAGAGGCTATAAATACAGAGAATTTGCTTGAAATAGTCTTTTTAAGGGTCTTGTTTTTTAATTATTCTTAATCCCTGCACTTCCTAGATGCAACCTTTGCATAACAATCTAAATTAGATCTTGTAAAAGAAATGGGTTTTCACATGTCAAAGGATACTTAAGAATGTGATAAATGGAGCAGGGATGTAGTGAACATATGATCAAGTTGAAGTGATTATCGTCTCAATATGGTCTCTGAAACTTATTATTTTGCATCATCTTGTTTTAGATAAAAGCAGTTTTGATGTCTAACAGGGAGGTGAAACATCAGTATGCTGTATAACACCTATGGGAAAAGTAAAACTAGCACATGGTCTTTGAGTTGGAAGCCTGGATTATTTACTTTCGGAACACTCGAACCACACTTTTAATCACACTTTTAGCCTAGTTTCAAATAAATCCATTCAAACACAGGAAGTAATGTTTTGATGGAGAATGCTAAAACATGCTCTGTCTGTTGTTTTGAAAAAGCTGGAATACTGTAGACAAACAAAAATGTTATTGATCTGACCTTTGTAATAACATGTTTCACAGTTGTTATGATGAGGAGATGTATGACATCCAGAATTGAAGAGTCTATCTTTACATCATAAGTTTTCCAAGATTATAGGTTTGCAGCACTCTAATTAATCTGCCTCTTATCTCTGATTGCTTTAAGACTAGAAAAATAAAGGAAATTCAAGGATTGAAAAAAGTTGATTAGTTTAGACACCAGGTTTAGATCACTGACCCTCTTTCATGCCAAATCTAAAACAAAAGTAATAAAACTCAGATCTTGAATACTCAACTAGAACTGTTGCTTTTGATTTCAATATTATTTTGGCCTTACATATATATTAAAGAGATGCTGAGTTGAAAACTTTGGTCTAGTAGTTGGATTTTTTTATTGCCTTGCCACTTAAGTTGTGACCTGGTAAGAAGGAATGAAGCAGCAACCTAATTGAAAACCTGTACTTGTTTAATTACACTTCATAACAGCTTAGGTTATAAAGACTACTATTGGACTTGTTGTGATTTGCACCTGCATTCTTATCCGTATGTCTGAATGCTGAAGTGTGAAGTTTTTCACACTAGGAAAAAAAAGCAGCTGTTGGTTGTTGTAGTTTTTTGTTTGTTTGGTGTTTTTTTTTTTTTTTTGGAATTTATTTTTTTTGTTGGCTTTTTCCCTTGAATGGAAATGAGTTGTTAGCAGAAGAACATTTTGTTTCTCTCTTTCCAAGCATGAAATAAGAGAGAATCTTTGCTGCAAGTTATGTACTTCAGAGAAGAAGTAGAGAATGGACTTTCCTCTTCACCAGCTACTGTTCAAAAGCCCAGTTTTGCCCTTTAGCTTTTTTATCTTTATGGTCACATTTTATGGTTCATGCTTGTGATTGCCTACCTCAGGTGGCTATTGCTCCTCTTTCTTTGACATAGAAAGGGTCAAAAACAGCCATATTTTGGTATTTATTTACTGCAATACTTGGGTTTTTGCATTAAAATAAGTTGTGGTATGAAAATATTTTCTTTATTTGTGAAAGGTCTCAAGCATTCAGTAATAAGCTGAAAGCTTGGAAACAAAACAGTCTATCATGGCTTATCTCCTTTGTAATTTTCAGATTTTCATTCAGGTAGATAGGATAAACATATCAAAATATACCTCGTTCTGTTTAACTGGGGAACAATAAAGGGGAAAAAATGATGGGACTCAATGGAATCTTTCTTTTCTCCAGAGGCATTTTTTGTTTTCACTGTGCTCTGTCTGGAACTTTCTGCTGGCACTTTCATACTCCTGTAAGAATTAATGATATGGGAAATAATTAATAGAAACTTAGAAGGATATACCTGAATTGATGTCCTTCAGTGTTTTCACAATTAAAAGTGATTTGCAATGCAGGAAAATCTTGCTGTTCCCTTAAAAACACATAATAATCCCACAGTTATCAGTACTTTCAGACAGGGAGAGCAGCAATGCTGATGAATTTTGCTGGATATTTGGAAAGAAACCAGAGGAGGACTTTGAAGAGAGATGCTGAAGTCAAATATCCTGTAAACTGTAACCTGTATTTTTCAAGAGATTCAACACTAAAGTATGTTTTCAACCATAGCCTATATGTGGAAAATTTGAGTTAGACTGGCTCCTTAGAAGGAAGCATTGCCAAGTCTTGTGTTCTGCCAATTGTTCTGGTAGCTGTGTGGTGAGGAAACATCTGTGTTTAAATCTTACAACCTGTTGAAAGTCATGGAAAATATTGATTGGCAATCTGAACTATGAATCCACTAATAGACAGGAGATGGGTGGAAGACACCAGCTGGGTAAATACTAGTCTCATTAGAACTCTGCAGATCCTTAACTAAAGGTAATATTGTGGCTCTTTTCTCCCTCCAGAATAGAGTCAGACCTTGTGTTTATGCAGTACTTCTGCAATCAGATAAATAAATAAGCTCTGGCATGCTGCTCAAGGAAAGACAGGTTACAAATATATTGGGCTAGAAATTCTACATTATGTTTAAATAGCAATTCTTCAAGAGTGTCAGTCGAAAGGTAACTTTGCTAGATCATCAATTAAAAAGACATGAAGAAAAAAAAGAACCTCATTAGAATCTGAATTTTCTGGTATTTTGTCTTAAAGCCTTGGAATTTGTATTTCTGTTTTCTTAAATATGTTACTGTGGCTTTTATTTTCTATGAGAATTATTTACAGAATTTTAATTAGAGGGTATTAACATCTGAAAATGCTGATAATAATTGTGACCCGGAGGGGAAGGGTTGAAAATGGACTTTTTCAGTAACCTAGATACCAGGCTTGTGATTCTTAATATATTGCTGCTGTGGAACTGGTAGTTTACTCATCCTAGAATTAGTAGGTGTCTGCAGGTTTTTTTTCTGTGTGTATGTGTGAGTATTTTGTTTCTGAGTTGTTAGGGTTTCTTTTTTTTTTTTTAAGTCTAAAAGAATAAAAGCAGTGGGTTTAATTTTTCAGGATTCAAAGATTCAAGAGGGATGGCTCTAAAATATGTAAGAACCTGGCTGAAGGGAGAACAGTGATTTTTAGCAGCAAGCTTCCTCATGCGTTCTTTTTTTTTTTTTTTAATTTTTTTTTTTATTTGCAAGGCTGGAGTTCCTCAGAGATTAATCTGTGGGCAGTTTTTCTGCCAAGGACATGAAGATATAAGCAAAGTATCAAAGGAAGGTGCCAGAGGGGATGGAAGGAGCTTGCTTATTATTGTAAATAACGGCTGGAGAGGATTAGGATTGTTATCTAAATATAAAGCAGGTATACATAATTTGAACTGGAGGCTAGTTTTGGCACAGGCACAAATTGATCCAGACTGCCCTACTGCTTGAGATGAAGCTTGATAAGCTTATTGAAGGATTTAATTAGCGTGGTGTTTGCAACAATAGGAGGTTGAATATGGTGTCCCAGTGGGGGAAATTGCATCCAGCTTTTTGTTACAAAGTGAGATAACAGAGTTTTGTATGTCTTGTTTAGGGTCATCCTAATGCACAACTTGGTATCTAAGAATTGTCTTGCCAAATGCTGGCTTTTTTCCTCTCTGTCTTCTTAATGGCTCTTATTTTTTCCTCTCCTCAAGGGCTTGGATTATATTAGATCAATACAGGAAGAAGTCAAAGCTCTTCCGTACAAAAGTCCTGTTAGCTCCACTTGGGGATGATTTTCGCTACACTGAGAGCTCTGAATGGGATCAGCAGTACCAGAATTACCAGAAGCTGTTTGATTATATGAATTCTCGCCCTGAATGGCATGTTAAGGTAACTACAACACATCTTCTGTTTTGTGGGGAAAACAATATTTCCTGATATTCTAAGATTCTTCATGGGAAAAATAATTGTAGTTATGATTGGATTTTTTTCAAATGTGAATCTTTATAAATTATGTAATGGTAGATTGATGTGTCTTGGTAGCTTACATTTTTTTAACTTTATTATGTTCTCTCCCTGAAAAACAAAAACTCTGCTGTTAATAATATTGGTATGAAAACTGTAGTTTTCAAACTAGATTAATTTGGAGAACAGCTAGTAGGTTTAATTGTTTTCTTAGCCTGTTTTCACAGGCTTCAGGCATTGTTACTTAAGACTCATAGCCTTTGTTAAGTCAAATTATTATATTTTCATATTAGAAGTTCAAGAAGATTTTGCTGCTTAAACCAAAAAATCTTAAGAGATGCCATTGCTGGCATGTGTTGTTGAATGCAACAAAATATGAGACTGACATGGCTACAAAATGACTGAGTATTTTAACACAATTATCAGAGGAGATACTACTTCAAATCAACAATTATGTGTGAGAGTTAAAACAAATTCATATGTTTTAATGTGTACTTCTTGTAGTACAAGACCCTAGGGGACTTCTTGTACTATAGAAGTTCTCTGTATTCTGACAACTTTTCAGCATCTTGCAGCATGACAGTAGCAAGTGGGGCCACAACCTTGGGTTATTTGAGTGTCACCTGGGAGTGCACTTTTGCTTGATTTCACATTAAAGCTTTTTTTTAAAAGCCTTGGTCTGGTATTTTTCATATAATTTTTGTGTGCATCTGTTTTTCCTTATCTTTCCTGAGACCTCCCCTGATTCTTCCAACTGTGCATTTTGAGTAGTGTCTGTAGTATGTTATTACTTTCTGCTGACTTCTGGACTTGTATTCTGCATAAGAAAGATGATTTCTTGGGATTATAGCTTATCTGAAAACTGGATTTTACGTGTTTCCTATGGGATGTGGGTGACATGATGTATGCTGAAGGAGCACTATATCTTAGTGGATGGAGGCAGACCAGGAGAGTACTCTTCAAATTCCTTAAAATTAAAGCCCATCTTTTAAAACTTAAGCTTGCTGGAGCTTGCTGCTATCCCTGCCTTTACTTCTGTCAAAAATGTATGCTACTCTCTGGATACTAGCAGCAACATATTTTCTGTAGTTTTTACTAATTTGGGCTGGATGATTTTGTCTCTGGGGCAAAAACTGAAGGCTCTAGCTCTGAAGTCATTCTTCAAGAAGCAGCACTGTTCTGAGACCTCTGAAAGGTTCTGCTCAGCCCACTCAAGGATTCTAGCAGTCTACTTCATTAGGCTGGGTCTGCCCGTCTAAAGTTACATTAACCCTTGGCTCCTGCATGGAAATACCTGACCCTTTTTCTGGCTTTTAATACCCAGACAAAAAGATATAAAAAATCCTCTGGGTCTGCCACTACATACCTAGGGTATTTTGATCAGCTGGAACACTGTTTGCATCAGAGAATTTCTCCTTTCCATTTTGTTCAGATACTTAGGTTTTCCTCTCCCTGTTTTTGTTGTTCTTTTTTTTTCTTTCTGAGTTGTTACCTCTCTCTTGGGGTTTTTTTTTGTGTTTTTGTGGTTTCGTTTGATTTTTTTATTTTGTTTGAAACTGATGTCATTTGTTCTTGAAAATATGAGCTTAAGTGGAGACACATTTTCTTTCTTTCACACTCTTATGCACTTTCCCTAGTGGAATGTAACTCCACAGGCAAGTAACAAGGCATGCTCAGCTATGTAAGAATCTAGATTATATAAAGGAAGAGTTCACATTTCTTCCAAAGTGTTGAGATGCCTAGGATTTTACTGCTTACACAAGAGAGTGTCTACTCTGCCTTTCTGATCTGAAGGGAGATTTACTCTTTCAGGCAGCTCTTAGTGATATTTATCTAGTGGATATGTCTGTTAGGATTGAGACTCTCCTGCCAGCCACTATTCTGTTCTAAAAGTGTGTGGTACATCACTGTAAAACATACCTATTTTGCTCTTGGGGAATTCCATCTCCCATTCATAGATTTCCTTTGCCTCTATTATACATAAATTAAGCTGAGTCTTCTAGTATGCCAAAAAATCTACCAGTTTATTCCACTGTTTCTATTCACCTGACTTTATGCTTCCTCTGGTAAGGTTTTACTTCTCTGATTCAATGCAGAAGTGAGATCATCTCTGCGTCTTCTCTTGGTGTGTGGGATTTGTTTTTTGTTTTCTACCTGTAGGTACCTTTGATAGTGAGGGAGAAGACCAAGTATTCTAGAAGTGCCTGATAAGGCAGTTTACTAATGGTGGGATTTCAGGGGCAATATTTATCTTTCTCTGCTTTACTGCCATTTAAAGTGGCAAGTTACTATATTGTCTCCACCTAACAAATACTTGGATGATCTGAATGACTTTGAAGTGAAAGTGTTTGGGGTTTTTTAAATGATTAAAAACTGTGAATTTGATGTTACAGTGGTAGTCTGATAGTCCTTATATTCCAAGTCACTTTTAAAAAAGATTATTACTAAAACTTGGTTTTGATGTTGTAAATTGTAGAACACTACATTGTATACTTGTTGTTAAACATAAAAATAATAGGAAAAAAAGTTACTTGATACTATCATTATAGTTTTATGGTGAAGATACTTCAAATAACATAATGTGGTCTTCTATCCTGTTGCAGTTTCCATTAATTTTTTTTTTAACTTTCATTTAAAATACATTTTGCTATTTATGCTCCTTTAACAACATTTCTCAATCCTAACAATATGGACATCAATAATTTATTTCCTGTTTTTTTTATTCCCCTGAATTTAAGAATACTAGTTTTTGACCTACCCTGTTAGGATCTGCTATTACCATGCCTGAGCCTTTTAAAAAATGACCAGAAGATAATTAGTTTATTTTTTTTCTCCCACATGTTACATCTCTAAATGCAATTTCTTTTTACAGAGTTTAAGGAAATGCTGATTTTTTTTTTTTTTTTTTTTTTTTTTTCAACAGTCATCTTTTAGGTTAAGCAAGATCTGGAACACAAAAGAGCTAATTTTGAAAACACAGAATTAGGAGAAGTACGTTTTTGTTGCATTACAAAAATTTCTTCCTTAGCCCAGATGCTACTTGGGTAATATTGAGATGTTACTTAGCTCGTTTATTACTGACTTACTTCTAAGATATGAAACAATGCTTCACTTGTTTGTTGACATTTAGCTATTATATTTTAGATAGCTGTTTAAATAATAATCATTAAAAAATCATATTTTGTGAGTTGTAGAATGGTTTTGGTTGGAGGGGACCTTTAAAACTGTCTCGTCCAACTGGCCTGTAATGCGCAGAGAGATCTTCAAAGATTGCCCCAGAATCCCATCCAATCCTGTCTTGAATGTTTCCAGACATGGATCATCCACAATCTCTGTGGGCACCTTGGGTGTGTCACCTCCCTTGTGTTAGCAGTTGTCTTCATATCTAGTCTGAATCCATCCTCTTTAATTAAAACCTCTTTGTTTTAGCACAAGAGGTCCAACTAAAAGCCTGTCCCCATCTTTCTTGCAAGACCTCTGTCTGTACTGAAAGGCTCCAGCAAGGTCTCCCCAGAGCCTTCTCCTCTCCAGGCTGAACAGCCACACTCGTCTCAGCCTTTCCTCATAGGGAAGGTGTTTCTCTTATGACTGTTCTCTGGACATACTCCAGCAGATCCATCTTTTTCCTGTACTGAATTGATATGCCTTTTTTGAAAATACTTGTATTGAGTTTTGAAATGCTATCCAGTTTTTCTGAAAAGTGTGCCAGGGGAACTTTAAAAAATTTTGGATATGTTTTCTGCTATAAATCTGCTGGAAGAGTGATGAGTTTCTGAAATATATATGGAACCAAACATATTCATTGTCTTTGTATTTTCTACATAGTGAAAATGGAGCTTTGTTACAGTAATTTTAATTTTCATTCAGGCCCAGTTTGGAACTTTATCTGATTACTTTGAAGCTCTGCTCAAAGAAAGCAATTTGGGTGAAAAGAGCAGCAATTCACTTTTTCCTGTTTTAAGTGGAGACTTCTTCACCTATGCAGACAGAGATCATCATTACTGGAGTGGGTACTTTACATCACGACCCTTTTATAAACGCCTGGACAGAGTCTTGGAATCCTACATAAGGTAAATCCTGCCATCCAGTGCATTCATGATGTGTTTCTTGGCACACAGGAGAGAGTGTGTAAGTATATTTCATGTTTTAACCTCAGCAGGCCCTTGCTCACTCCCCCACCAGCAGGATCTTGAGGAGAATTTAAGTTTCAAAGCTACAAAAGTCATGAATTGAGACAAAGGCAGTTTGTTAGGGAAAGCAAAAGCCACATATGTGAAAAAACAAAGTAAGGAATTATGGCTGTAGTGTGAACTTTTTTAGAGAGAAGTAAAAACGTTCTCAGAGGAAGCTGAGAAATAGCCAGGAATATTGGGTACCAAGTGATCTAAGACTGCTGTTCTTTTGGAAATTGTCTGCCTCTTCTTTAAAGAAAAAAATTGTTGCTGAAATTTGCTAATGGAGTATTTAAGTGGTTCTCCCTTGTAGCAGACATAAGATGATTTAACTGTGTTATAGAGCTCCAGAAGGAAATATAGGGCAGATGGATAATGTGTAAATCCTGAACATTTCACGTATAGTCTTCCTGAAGGATAACATGCAATTCTTTCCTGTAATGGGTGCTGCAGTAGTGGAACTGGCAAGAGAGATGTGGAAAGTGGCATTTCCAAGCAAGCTTGGAAACTAGTGTTTTGGAGTCAGATACGAGTACCAGTCAGAAGAGAAACTGTAGCTAGCAGAACTTGTTTTATTTCTTTCAAGGAATCCAGTTTTTACTGTGGTAAAGTGGATGATTCATCGCACGAATCTTTAATTTTTAGTGAAAATAACGTTGTTTAATACTGCTGGAGAAGTCAAGATGCACAAGAGAGCAAGAAAAGAAGGACATATAATATTCTTATAAATTGAATTATGTAGTTAGTTTTTTTGGGGTTTTTTTCAGTTTTGATTAATTTCCTTTCTGTTTTTGAAAGTGCATCAAGGATTTAATTTCCTTCAACTTCATCATAGTCTATTTTTTCAAGAATTTTAGGTGCAGTTATTTAATTGTTATTTTTCTTGTTTTTTATTACATAGATTACAGAAATTTCACATGAATTTGTGTGTAGTATTTAAAACTTGACATTATTAAAGAGATTCCTTCATTTAAAAGTTTCAGTTGCCTTCAACTTCTGAAAAAGGTATAGGTAAAGAATCTCTGGAGAAACACTAATCTGTTAATGGTCTTATATATTAAAGTATAGTTTAAAAAAGTACCTGGGGAGTTTTTAGTTTTTCATTATCCTCTGTAAATAACATGTAAGGAAAAAATGTACAGATGTGCTCTCATCATTTTAATATCAGATTTTTTGTCAGTTTTATTTTCAGAAACCATGAGACTCTTCATGAAGGTCATATTAGCTATGAGAACAGCAAGAGTAGGGCTTTTATCTTTTATTTTTTATTTCTTTAAAATCAAAGAAAATACAGTAGGATCATATTTAATTCTCAAACTCATGATAATTATTTCCACAGTATGTTTGAGCTAACATCCATCTGTATATACATATTTGTGAGAGAAAGAGCCATGAACAGAAGGTAAATACGTGTGTGTGTGTGTGTGTGTATGTTCTTTACCAAGGATGAATGATTTTAACTTCTAGCAGTACTAGAATTAAGCAGCACTTCACTGTTACATAATAGCCAGGAGACAGTGTTAAGCCTCAGAACCCAAATATGAAAACTAACCATTACAGCAAGAAAACAGTTGGTTGTTTAAAGTATTTCCTGTTTCAAAAGAGTTTGAAGGGTTGTGTAGTGAAGTGTAAGAAAGCGAAAAGATTTTATAATGGAGATTGACAGGGATTTGAGTCCTTATTGACTTTTTTGAACTTAAGATGTATGAATGAATTGAAGTAGTTTAAAGGGTGATAAAATATGTGACCAGAAGTTTATTTAATGTAATGAAAAGATACAAAGAACAGCAGCATAGTTTAAGACAAGTTAGGGACGCAATTTTTGGTTTTATTAGTTACTGATGTAAATGGGGAAAAGTACTGTAAATCTGCAAAAAGAAAATTGAAGCAATTTAGTAGGTGAATGCAACAGTGATACTTCTAACTATGCAGATGGATAGAAAATACTACATCTTGATAATTCAAAATCTCTTGGAAATTTTTTTTTTTTAGGTGAAATATAAACTGGAGCTAGGTAAGGTAAGCTAGTATAGGCCTTGACAAATCAGTGAAGCAAATTTTGATATATTTGTAGTGTCCTATCAGGGAGAGATACTACAAATTACAGTGAAGTGCAAAATTTCTGGAAACTGTATTAGGTCATCTGCAGTAGTTTGAAGCAGATGTGAGAAAACCAAGGCTTTATACAGATTTTATGGGAAGGTATTAGATGCTTACCTATAAGCTGAAGTGTTCTCTAATAATGTTGTATTTCTGAGTGTCTTTCATCATTGACCATTGAACCTTTTTAGTGTTTAGAAAAATATTGAGATATGAAAGCAAAATTCTGCATCTGAGAGATGTCCCTATTAATAGAAAAGAAAATTAAAATTAGTTGTGGGGAAGAAAATGTCACCTTATTTTCAGGACTAAAATTTGCTGTGTTCTTTATAGCTAAATTAGGTCAGTGTTTAGTGGCTAACTCAATTTTTTAAAATTCTTTTGGAGAGGATTTATTCACTAGATGAATGAGCATCTAGTGATTATTTGTTTTCAACTAAAATATTTTCATGTTTCTTTCAAATTAAGCTGCAATAGGAGGAGGGATCATAGAATTAGGAATTTGCACTAAGCAACATTTAAATCACAGTGATTAAGGTTAATCTAGCCCTCCTAATTAAATATAGGACTTATAACTTTTTTACACCTTGATTTTGTACGTAGCTTCTGAGAATTACCTAGCTGGTAAGAGCAAAATCTCCACCTGTTCATGAAATATTGACAATATGGGAATAGTTTAGGCTGTTACATTTTCAGTGCACCTTTCAGTTTACTTGGGTATATGGTAGTTGCAGTTTTTATATAATTGTTACATAAGTACTGTATAAAGATGAAAATTTAATCTAAAGGAATTTTTCATGTTAACAATTAATACCATGCATAGTCTGAAAACTAAGGTTTTTTTGTTAATTTTTAAATTTTATAAAGTTTAAAAATGAAACATACCCTCACTGACAGCTTGGGTAAATAACAGAGTTAACTTATTTTCCTTTTCTTTTTAATTTATGACTTGCATGCCTCTAAATTAACATTACAAGAAAATATGTTGTTGTGCTTTCTTTGCTTTTTGTGTCACTAACCTGTATCATCTTTGTTCCTTCAAGTACTTGAGAAATGTTCAGTAACCTCTAATAAACTTTGAAAAATAACCTGACACTTTTCAGACTCGCAAAAAGAGAATTACAAAATTTTAGCAGAAGATAGGAAAAAAGTTAACAGATGCTTTCACAGAGTTTATGCAGGCATTTTTGTCAGTTAAATATCCATAATAACTGGCAATTATGGTGATATTTTTTGTAAAATAAATTTAGATTCTCATAAAGCAACTGAGAATCTGGTGCTAATATTTTTGTGCTAGGCTTTTGCAACAGATGTAGGCAAGAAAGGCTCTGCATTCTGTTCAGTGTGAGGGTTTTGGAATCCAGTGTTCTCTCCATTCAGGTGAATGTGTTCAGCAGATGCATGACATGGTTAAGCATTTAGAAGAGTTTCGTTTGTTTTAAGTGCAAATGGCAGAATAGATATTCAATAGTATACAGACTAGTATATTTATTTAAAACAAATGTATTTGATTAATAAGTTGTTTGTTGAAATGGGAATTATATGTTTCTTGTAAGGCACTCTAACCATGCTATGAGGTTTTAAGACCAAATCCTTATACCTCTCACACATTTATGAGTGTGTATTTTAGTTTGCAATGACATATTTTTATTTTAAAGGTCTATTTTCCATCACAGGAAGCTACAGTGTGAAGATAGGCTAAAATGTTCAAGAACAAGGTTGATAGAGCTTATGAAATTATTTACCATTTATTCTTTAGATCAAATGTGTATTGCTTTTCACATTTTCACCCCGTATAAATATTTGATTATTCTCTACAATTCCAGGGCAGCTGAAATTCTCTACTCCTTGGCTTTAGTACAGTCCAGTAAATCTGAGAAGATGAGTGTATTTCCTTCTGTGGATAACTATAAATTGCTGACAGAAGCTAGGAGGAACCTTGGACTCTTCCAGCATCATGATGCTATTACAGGAACAGCCAAAGATTGGGTAGTTGTGGATTATGGCACCAGGTAATTTATTATAAATACACAAATCTTAAACTCCTTTTGCATTTTTAAAACTGAAGGGTTTATTTCAGACATGCAGATTGCATACAGAAACATACTCCACTGAAAGAGTAGAGGTGCTCTACACAAGAAGTAGATTTGTTTACTCATGCTCTTCATTTATGCAGTATTTTTCAACCCTCTGAGTAAGAATTTGGTGTCCAAACAAAATTTTGATGGGTCAAAAGGTAGATGCATTACTGACATTTCATTAATAGCAGGATTTTTCTGCAGTAAGTAGGAGAACTTTTTATATTTGTCTGTAATAAGCAATAATCAAAGATGTGCTAATTTAAGCATATATTCTTTGGAAAATCCCACACACTCTGTAGCCTACCTATCTTAAAAGTGGGAAGTCTTTCGTGTTAAAATCTTCTGTTTAACTTGTCTGTCATTGTTTATTGTTTCATCGGGGGTTTTTCTCAGTATTGAGAAATTATTCTGTCAGCATCTTCATAGAATTTTTTGAAAAACATTGCATAATATATGTATGTCTGTGTAGACACATGCTTTAATTATGGGTTTGTTCCGAAAATGACTTCATATTGGAATGTTAAGAACTAGTAAATTTGATTAATTGAAGTGATGATGGTAGATTGATGATATAGAGATGTATCTCACTTTCAGTATGCAAGACAAGAATATAATTCAGAATATTTCTGCATTTTTCAGGCTGGCTGCCGATTGCAACTAACTGTTCTTAATTTCATGCTATATTGATGCTAAAATTTTTATTTATTTTTCTGCAACTCATATTTTTGAGTTCTTAAATGTTTTTAAATTTTGATGTTACAGCATTGAATAAAACCAGTTGAAAACTAACTATGATTTTAAATGTTTTAACAGGCTTTTCCATTCAATAATGAATTTGAAGAAAGTAATAATTGACTCTGTTCATATTCTCATCCTAAAAGACAAAAGTGCTTATAACTATGACACAGCAACTCCGCTCCTGAAGATGGTGAGCTCTCTCCCTTGATTTTTTCCAAAAATGAAATGTGAACTATGTCTTTTGAATTTAGTTTGAGTAGACCTGGGAAACATCAGAATTAAATTTGAACCTAATGTCTTCTCAGAAATGTGCTACTTATCACTCTTCACATTAACTGAAGATCTTAGAAATTAAAAAGTGAACTTATCAGTAGTTGGTGCTGAAAGAAAGCCCGTATGGCTAAAGGAAAGGGACTTTTGTTCCCCTTTGTGAGTTAGATAGTAAAAGCAGGTATTCTACATTTCTTGTGGGCATAAATTTGTTGGTGACTTAAGTAACATACATAGGTAATTGAATATATAATAGTACGCAGTCTTGAAAGTTGACTTCGCTTCACAGAGGAGCTTAAGAAATGTGGGAAGAAAAAAATTCCTATCGCTAACAGAAGTCTTAACCTTATTTTGCAAGATTAGATCAAGACAGTACTTTGCGCACTTTTTACTTTGCTGAAATTATTTGAAACAGGAATGTTCAATGAAATGGATGATAAAGTCAGCAATGGATCCTCATGTATCATTTTGAGACCTATGTTACAGTGAAGAACACCTTGAAGAAAAACACTTGCTAATATTGCTGCCTTTCAGAATTCTTAGTTTCTTCACTTTCTGAACAAAAGTGCTCTTTTGTGACAGCTATGAATTTTTAGGAAGTCTACTTAGTGCATTTACCCTGAAGATAGACAAAATGAGATACCTTAAGTTCTTTGTGCATAAACACAGCAAGGTTAGGACAATCTTTATGATATGATTATCTCACACTTCTGACATAACAAACAGTACATACATTCTACTGGTTTCTTTGTGTCATGTCTTGAACTACTCTTCCAGTCACATGTGTACATAAAAAAGTTTGTTAATAGTTCTTTATACTTTTTACTGCTTTTATATAAATATATATGTCTGTATATTTATATATATATCTATGCTGCATTTTTATACTATGTGCTTTTGTGTCACAAATATATAATTTTTCCCCTCTTTGGAAAATGAATATGCACTTTCATAAAGAAGGAATATTTTGAAGGCATTCATGGGATGAAGGTTTTATTTCTGATCTGAATTATGTTGGAAGATGTTGCGATGTTACATTTTACTAAACTTTTGTTGTTCCTGTACTTCATCAGTCTGGATTAATACCACTGCATTGTAGAAGTGCTAATTGCTGTTTAAACTGTATATTGCCTAGGAGCATACTAACTCAATAAGCTATTACCACTGTGAAAGCAGAAATTAAAAGGGAAGTTGTTATTTCAATGAATTTATTGTTTCTATATAAAACAAAAAACCAAGGTGATTACTAAAGCAGATTAAGATTTATCTGTATGCCACACTATATCTACAGCACTATATCATTAATCTAGTATCTCTACTATACACTGGATATAGCAACAAAAGCTTTTTGATGCAGGATTTGTAGACTGCTAACAGGAGACCTTCAGGATACTTTCAGAACACCTTTGCAAACGGTGAGCAAGTTGGAAGTTCAAAGACATTCATTTTGGAGTACAGATTGTGGTATTTTGGTGGCTGATGGAAGCTGACATCAAGAATTGCTCAGAGATGGGCATCCAGAATGAATGTCAAGAGACTTGAGAAAGACAAATGATGAAGACTCTAAGACTGAAAGTGGCTGTTGTTTTTGCAGGGTTGAAGAAGTCAAAAACACTTAGAGGAGCAGAGCATAGCACTGTAGCAGCAGCATTCCAGCAGGTAGCAGGTATAGCCAGGGAAAAGTTCCCTTTCTTGGAGGCAGAAAAAAGGAAGTTGGGAATACGACACTATTGAAGAACTCAGGAATGACATCACTTTTTCTACTCTTAATTATTAGTTGCACACAAAAGCATCATGGTTTTCTTGGTTGGTAACTGAATACTTCTTACTTCTTGTGTTAAGTTTTGCAAATTCTACACTAGTAAACAAACAAAAAACCACTTGGAAGGCAATACACTGATAAAGAGAAGACACTTAAGGATCCCAGAATGACCCAGGTTTAGTTGGATCATCGATGAGGGTCAAACTGTAAAAATAAAGCTGCAGCCATTACAAAATTCCTTTACATTAGTCTTAGTTCTTTCAGTGCAGAAAGAAAATTTAAATGTAAGTGACAATTTCTGGATTTGAAAAAGCATGATTTTAAGGAAATTTTGAGGAACTATGAACTCTGCATTTCAATTTCAGTCTGTGGTGGTCGCCATTGTAAGAACTGACTGGGATGCACTGTGAATCAGCAGTTTGGCTGCTCTCTTAGGCTATGCAACAGTGACAGCAATGTTTTGTCTCTCCCTTTCCTCAGTGGAAGTGAGCCCCATAATTTGGGGTATGCTGAGTACCACACCACACCCCAAATTATGTTTTTTGAAATGTTTTCATTTTGTACAGCATAAGGTAACAGTGAGAGCTCACAGGACTACACAGTGAATCCTTGTGGTAAGTGCACAGAAGTATATTGTTTCAGAGTAAATTTATGGCAGGAGAAGTTTAATAAAAGCATGTGATAAATATTTGCAAACTTTGAGGAAGTTGGTGATTATAAAGTCTTGTGTGCAAAAATGAAAACACAGGTGTAATAATTTGATAATGGAATGTAATAAGGTCTTTAATGAAAACAAATATTTCACAGTGAATTGATCAAAGTAAATGTCTTTCTTTTGTCAGTATGAAGTATTTAGTTTATTAAATTTTTGGTTTGTCATCCTCAGTAATGGGCTAAAATAAGATTTGGTTTCTGGTGTTGTTAATGTGGCTTTGTACTCCACAAAATGCATATAATAGACAAAGCTCATATATTACCCATTGAAGTGTATCCAAAAGCAAATTCAAAGATGTTCTCTTGTAGGATGATGTTCAGGCTTCTCAAGATTCTTTGCCACGCAAGACAGTTATAAAGCTGACATTGCAACCAAGGTAAATAATTTACATATTACTAAGTATCTGAGATTCTTTTAGCAATATATGTGTTTTCTCTACCTACTAAGTAGTTTTTTATGCCATTTCCTTTTATTTATTTATTTATTTTTAATTTTTGCTCAAAATAGAGCTAAAAAGTTAAAAAATAAAGAAAATTTAAAAAATTATTCTGGGAGATTATGCTAATATTATGTCTAATTGAAAGAGGACACAGCATGTTAAAACTATAGGTATTTCTCACATACCACAGCTAAAGTAAGTGTTCTGTTTCTGTGTGCTTTTAGAGCATTGTAATACTAAATAGATTGTGCTTGAGAGAAGAAATAGAAGATTCTAATTAAGCATAATTACAGGTGCCTCAATTAATTCTGTGAACCAAATGTTAAGTTTTATAAGGTCTAAATATCACAATTTATAAATATTGAATTGTCTTTAAAAATCAAGTAGAAGATCAGCTAGGATACTGTTCTCTCTTAACTCCAACTTTCCATTATATTAAGAGGAGTTACTTTTTTATTTATATGTAGTTGTAGAGTATTCAGCTGAAATTTGCATCCTGCTATGCCCATGAACCCTCAGTATACCAACTGAAATAATGTAAGCATTAATTTAAAGTGGCTGATCCAATAAAGTGAATAAGATGTCTGGATATAAGAACTACTGTAAATCAAATAATGTCTCTGTAAATCAAATAATACAAGGTTTTTGTGTACAGAACAGAAAATTTGAGATTAATTTAAAAAGCAGCGAATTCTATTTTTGCTGATGTTAGTATCTGATTTCTCTAGTTCTTATGGCAAACTAATAAGTCTTACTTGCCTAATTGATGCAGGTGTCCAACTATTCAGCTGACTAACTGCTACTAAAAATATAGTTTTAAAATATACTTAAAATCTTTGAAAAAATGAGTAAAGTTTATTTCTTGTGACCTTTTGGGGGAAGCAGTCTTCAGTCTTCCAGCACTATATATACATAATGTGTCTAGTGTACACTTTTCTCTATAGAGTGTTTTTTTTTCTTAAATAGGACTTCTCTTATTGGAGCACTATATAGGTGCTAATAGATTATCTTAAACTTGTCCAAAATGACCAAGAACTCAGGTGCCTATTTATTTAACTAAAATGTTTTAGCTAGGATGTATATGTAGTATATAAGCACCTGTTTGGAGCCAAGTTATGATGTGGACTTTCTTTGCTATTTGAGGATAGCTTTATTGCCTTTGCTTTCCTTACCTAGTTTAGCTGTTAAAATTTTCCCTGTGCCCTTTTCATCCCCTAATACACCTTTTGTTTGCATACAGTGTTCCACTTTTGTCTCTGCATAATGTGCTAAGTAAGTTTTTCCCTTTTTGATCTTAATTAATTTCAGGTATTTGCCTTTTCCCCCTCTGAATTGTCAATTAAAAATATATACATGACATTACCAATAATGTTATTCTGGCAGACTACTGCTGCTATTCTCTAAACAGGTCTTAGTTTACTAAGAAAATAGTACTAGTAGAAAATTGCTAACTTCATGTTGTCTGGTATTGTGAAGATACCATAGAGTCAAATAAGGTACAATGATACATGTTCCAAAGACTGCAATCATAAATATGGGAAAAAGAATGAAGAGGGGAAAAATGAGACAGAAAGGGCAAAGAAAGATTATAAGAGAATATTGATATTAATGACTAAACCCTGGGGTTTTCTGGAAACACTTTGAAAGTAATGCATAAGTGTACAGTACCTTTTACATGTTTTACTTGTTAAAATTTTCATTTGTGTATCTCTTCGTTAAACTGGTTTTGCTTATAAAAATTAGCTTAGCCTCTTTAGGCTTCTAACTCTATCTCTGGTTGTAGTCTGAATCTCCACTAACTTTATTATCATTGGGAAAAGTGGTATGTAAGCTGGCGCTGTAACTACTGGATAAATCTAGTATGTGATTATTATGATTGCATCTGAATTTTCTTGTAGCATTTAATGAGAAATGTTATTTTCAGTAGAAGCTTAAACTCAACTCAATAAATCTAAGAATTACTATGCTTAAACTTCAGACTTTAAAGTTTATAAGAAGGAAACTCTTTTTTTTTTCCATTTAAAATTTTGGGGCATCAGCAGATTTTAAAAACTGATTTTCACCAAAACTTTGTTATTTGCTTTTCTTCTGTTCTTAATAGGCTTTATTATTAATCTGTGTGTAATTGAATATCTAGATTTCTTTCCAGTAGTGTGTTCTAATGTGTCATTATATGGCATAGAAATTAAATCAATGTAACTGGCAAGATGTTACTTTTCTTTATTTGCTATTTAGTTTTTCATATTTTTGCATTTCTGTGTCAGAATTAAAAAAAAAAAATCTGAGTTCTATCTTGGTTATTACATAAGTGTGGTTCATATAAACTGTGCTTTTACAGTGACACTGCTGATGGGAAACTCGTAAGGGCTTTTCAACTTTTTTTTTTCTTATTTTACTGATTGCAAATATAACCAGCTTTCTTCAGTACCATGGTTGGTGGTGTGCTTCTTGCCTGTTTCATCCATCCCTCCTTTTGGGTAATCTTTAGTTAAGCGTTCTCTTCACTGCTCATGAAAGTTGTAGTCAGTAGTGAAAACTAATCTGACAGACTGTATGGGAGAGCTAGGACAATTCTATTATATGGAAGAAAAAGAAAGCAGGAGGAGCATTATCTTTCAGTTGTTAATGTTCTAGTGTGAAGTATCTCTATATTGTTGCATAGTTGAGAATTGTCTTTCAAACTGCTTCTAAGTAGCTGCCGCCTGTAACCGACCTGGTATTGTTTCGCTCCCACCTGAGCATCTCTTCTCTGTAGTGTTGTTGTTATATCTTTATGAATCCCTAAGTGTATTTTTAATGTGTTAATTTTGATTAAATGGGTGTGCAGGGTATTTTAGGTCTTATCTTGACTCTATGACCTCAGGGTGACTAAACGGTCTTGTGATCAGGCTTTTGAATACTGAAATTATGGAGTCTTTAATTACACTATATTCATTTTAACAGAAAAATGAAGTTGCATGCTTTAAAAAAAAAAAATTCATTTAGCTGAAAAATGGAGTTTTCACAAGATAATATCCAACTGGATATGGATCTACTTCAGTCTTGTTCTAATGTTTAAAATTACTGCATGTCTTGGAGACAAAGGCCACTGAGTGCACTGATAAATTGGATGCTGGCTCATGCTCTGTTACTGCCCAGCTATTTAGTATAATAATAGGTTTTCAGGAACAGTCTACCAGAGGTAATACTTGCTGAATGGCAAAAGACTTGCTCTCACTGGATTTGGTGGGTTGGGGGTGTGTTTGAATCTCCTGTCACCCAGTTTAGGCTGTCAGCAGCAGGTGAAGGGCGCACTAGCTGTGAGAGGAAGGGTTTCCCAGCTATTTCTCTGTGCTGTTTTCTGGGGACAGCGTTGCAGGGGAGCATGCTACACAACTTAATGACTGGATTGACTGTCTGCACCAGTCTGGATCTTGTAGTGGTCTTGTTTGACACAGTATGGTGAACCTTTGTGAAAAGACCTAACAATGGCAATTAGGTTTTATGTCTTCTTCCCCCTTCTTGTTTTAACTTCTGAACCTTCATGTACCTAGCTGGGCAATTTCAATACTGTCTTCCACTGCGTTCTATCCTATCAGAACTGAAGATACTGTGGTACTGAAAAAATTTTAAAAATCATCGATTTAGGATTTTTTTTTTGTGCTAAACCAGCTATTCTTATAATTTAACTACACCTTGCGTCAACTAATCTTAGAGGAACAATATGATACAATAGCCTTCTTATCAGGCCAGTTTTATAGCTTAGCAGACACTATTTCCACTAGCTGATATATTTAGGTTGCCTAGGGGATTAATGATAGGAGGATATCAATTATTTCTTCAAAGATCTGTCAAAGCAGTTTAGTGATATCCACCTTATAAAAGAATGTTTCCTTTTTTCAAATAGAGGATACAAAATAATCTTGGCTATTATCCTTACTTTGTTATCCTTGAGCAGGTTTTGGCACAAAGTTGTATTTAATAAAGTTTTTGGCATAAATTGTGTTTATACCATTGCGTCCAAAATGCATGGTATTTTTTGAGAAAGAAAATCCCAATTTACTTCTATAATTTTTCAACTTGATAATATTTTAAAAAATTATTTGGCAGAGTATTCACTGCTTTTTCAGCACAGCACTTTAATGCAGAAATTAAAGCTATATTGCTAACTTTAATGTGTGATAGAGAATAATGTACCAAAGTCAAAAATTCTTGACAGAGCAGTGTGTGTGGTACTGTATTTGGTTGGATGACTACAGCAAGAATAATTTGAGAAGAAAATTTTGTTAGTCACATGCCATAACTATGTCTTTGTGAGCTTAGAATGTGACTAGATCACCCTAATACTCTTTATTTGGCAACTTTTGCTTTGGTGGTGATTTTTTTGTTTCCTTTTTTTTCCACCTTTAGACCTGTGTTGCCAGTTTTGGTACAATCTATCTAAACTTTAGTCTAATGTAGTTACAAGGAGAGGATCCTTCAACAGCATTTGACATTTTAATCATAAACATCTTAAATGCCTGTTATGCTTGCATGATTTCAGAAGCATAGGTATTCCTAGTTATACTCCAAAACTGCTGGGAAAAAAAAAGGACAGTGGTAGAAAAGGTATTTTCAAATCTTAATGAAAGAAAAAAAAAAAAAGTTTAAAGAAAACAGAAAACTGTAACATTTAAGATGTGTTTATATAAATATTTGTGGCAATTCATGCATTGTTAATATACACACCTGTTCCCCAGAGAAGAAAACTGATCTTGAAAAAACAAGAAAACAAACCAACCAATACTTTTAAGTTTTAATTGGATGAAATAGTGATCACAAAATGCATAACGTTGTGTGTTTATTTAAGTGAAACTTCTGTATTAGTATCTTTCAGGGAGGTGGGCAGGACAAATACTCATTCAGTCAAGCCTTAATACTCACTGCTTCTATTAGGAAACAATGCTTAATTAAGCCCT